TGACGCGGCAGCCAGTTCGGCATCGCTGGGGTGAAAGAGGACGCTTGGAGGAGGGAGTCCAGGCTCCTGACTGGCTGGGTCGCAAAGGCTTATTTGCATAACGTTGTCTGACAGCACCTGATTGGCTGAAGCCAGAGAGGCGGTGGTGGGGTGATTCCAAGGGCCCCACAATTCTGGTCCCGGGACCTTTCCATTCCGGAGTTACCCTACTGGCCATAAATTGTCGTGCCGTCCCCCGGGAGCTGAGGAGGCTTGGTTTGGGAAGTTTTTTGTAGGCAGGTGCGTGAGCCATCTTTCCCTTATAGTGTTTAAGAAATATGAAAGAACAAGGGTGGGAGTCAAGAAACTGGGGGATGAAGAGTGACCTGGAGATCAGAGAAATTAAAGAAACAGATCAGGAAAGAAATGAAAACCCAAAAGAAGGAGATGGGGGCTTTCTCCCCAGCTGGGCTTTTTTTTCATTTTCTTTTTCTGGGATCCCTTTTCTAGACACTTTGATATCTGTTTTCTGTGAGTTATTGTCAAGCTTTGCTGGAACTGAGAAGAAAATGGGCAGGATTCTGGCATTTCATTACTCAAATCTGAATACCAAGTTTCATCCAGAGGCATAGGTACTTAAAATATCAACAGGGTCAGATCCAGAGACATAGAAGCATGGAACACTGACGAATCTCAGAAGGAAGGCTGGGTTGAGTGAGTGGGTGGGGAGAGATTAACCTAAGAATTTATATGCATATCTGCATAACCCGAGACACAGACAATAGTGTAGTGAAGGCCTGGTGGGGTGCGGGGTGGAGGGGATCAATAGATGAAAAAGGAGACATCTATAATACTTTCAACAATAAAGATAAATTTTAAAAATATCAACAGGGTCTGTCATTGGGGACAAAATATGTTTTAATTAATGAGAGGTTCAGCTACTGGAAACTGGATATGTGTTTTTTTCTTGCAATGTTCTGTGTCTCATTGGACATAAGGATTTAAAATCAACCTGGACTATTTTGTACTTTCTTACTGCTTAAGCCCTGGGTGGTGGTGGGGTATCTATGGCTCATACTCATCATAGACTTTTCCTACATTTTAAAAGTTTCTGATTCTTTCCATAAACACCTCTAGGCTATGATGAGGTCATATAGCAGGTACAAATAATCATTGTAAAGTACTTTGTAAGTTACATATTTTTAAAATTCATTATCTTCAACCAAAATTTGGTACAGCCCATGGGAGAAGGTATATTGTATTGTTAAGGAACCTGAGGCTGAAAATGTTTCTAAGTCTCCACGTGTGTAAAGAGGGAGTGTGAGATTATTTTAATGCTTTAAGTTTATATAGTGCTTTTTGTTCTACATTTTTCTTTTCATTGATCCAAAGATCCTGATAGGTAGGTTGAACAGGTAATATTATCCCAATTTTATAGGTAAGAAAACATGGGCTATAATCTGGTGCTAATAAGACCTGGGAGGGGGGTCATCCCCAGACTGGGTTTTGTCTCTGTGAATCGCTGGCTTGTGTTCTGTTGTCAACAGGTATGACTTTGTTTCACCAAGTCAGATTTTCATTCAAAAGACAATTAGGAAGATGGCTTGCCATGGGGAAAACTTAAATATACATTGCAAAGTGGAGGAAAGAGGGAATGAAATAAACCTCTTCATTATGTGCTCTCTGCTTTTGGCACTTTTTGTTCTGCAAGGAAACGCTGTACTGAAAACACTCCTGAAAGGTTTTAGAGAAAAACGATTTGAAATTAGGAACTTGAATCTTGTTGAATTATTTGTAGGACTGTTGGAGAACACTGGCAGAAGAAGGACATGGTAAGGGAAGTGAGATGATAAAACGAAAAAGAAAACAGACTGTGGTTTGGAATCTCAAAGTGTAATTTAAGGTGCAAGGTTCTTAAAAGTTAAATGCAGCAATATGGTTCATAGCTTATTAAGGCCCTATTAAATGACCTTGCGTTTTAAGAACTATTTTTGGAAAGGAACACTTCAAGCCCTCCCCCTCAAAATATTATTGGACACCTTCCTACGTTTCTGTTAAATGATGAAAGACCCAACACCAGGCTTAACTACTGTCACCCTCTCTTGGCTCTTTGTACTGGGGCTCTCCAGCATCACTGAGTAGCAGGACTTGGAAAAAAGCCAGGAATTTCGTTACTTCTTCCCACTGCCATGTTTGATCTTATGGAGAAAAATGCGCAGATCCGATGGTGGGTCACTCTTCATTCCTGGCAGCAACTGTTACAAGAAAGACTGCGAGAGACCTCACAAGGAGGCTCCCCTCCCCCAGCAGCTGGCCAAGGCAAGGGCCACAACGGAAGCACTAAGAGCCCACGTGCACCCGACATGCCCAGCCACCCTTCTTACATAAGAGTCCCGGGATAGAGTTGCGGCTGCTGCGGGTCCCTATTCCCCAAAAGCTAATAATAAACCAGAACAGTAGTTTCCGGGCTGTAGCTAATATTGAGCGGCTCACTCTGTAACCAGAGCGCGGGCAAGGCCCACCCAACCCCCGCAAGCCAGCCCTCCCTCTTGCTGGTCAGGACCTTAGCGCTTTCTTTACCTGCACAGTGCCCGGCCCTCCCCTAGCTGGCCTCCTCTGCTCTCGCGCTGGTGGGGTGCGGCTGTTCCAGCCTTGCCCCGCCACTACGCCCTCCCTCCACCCGGGTATCAGGCGAGAGGCGGAGCTGGCCCAGCGGGCTCCGCCCTGCTGTAGAAAGGGCCAGGAGAGTGTTACTCCCGGTCACCCTGGCTCGGGACTTTTATCTCGGCTCTGCCGCGAGGCGGGAGGAGGAGACACCGGGGGTGGCCCTGAGCGTAGGCGACACCTTTCCCGGGCTCTATAAATTGAGCACCTGGGATGGGTAGGGGGCCGACGCCACCACCACTGCCTTTAGTCACAGTCCGATCACTGACCACAGCAGCGCCCACAAGCAACCAGAAGGTTGAGCTACTCAGCAGCAGGGGATCTCGAGGCGAAAGAGGAGGTGGGTGCCCTTACCCCATCTCTGCCCCGGTTATCGTAGGTGCTTGGACTCGGCTTTTCGGAGGAAGGAGGGAGTAGGGAGCACCCATTCCTTCTCTCCACGACACTTGCTGGGTGAGAAGGTGGGACAGCCCGGTCCAGTCCTAGGAGAGCAGTAATCGTGGAGGGAGGTGCGCGAGGGTGGGGACACTGGGCTTCCTAGCAGAGTGAATAATCTTCTCTTTCGTCCCCGTCTTCCAACCAGGTCAGGGCTCCACACACCGACCGCGCGCCGCCATCGCGAGCTTCCGGACGCCAAAGCTAGGAGAAGCTGCGCATCCCTCAGGGCCGGGCTGTGAGTAGGCGGAGGAGGAGCTGGGAATCCCGCCGCTCCGGCTATAACCAGGCCCCCAGCGCAGGTTTCCAAGAGCTCCTGAAGGCAGGCACCCTCGCCTCAGCCGGCTATCCTGTGCTCCTGTACCCGCGGCCACCATGATGCAAATCTGTGACACCTATAACCAGAAGCACTCGCTCTTTAACGCCATGAACCGCTTCATTGGTGCCGTGAACAACATGGACCAGACGGTAATGGTGCCCAGCCTGCTGCGCGACGTGCCCCTGGCTGAGCCCGGGCTGGACAACGATGTCGGCGTGGAGGTAAGCGGCAGTGGCGGCTGTCTGGAGGAGCGCACA